AACGACACAGCTAAACTCACAGAAAGAAGCTAATGACACAGCTAAAGTCAATGAAAGAAGCTAACGACACAGCTAAACTCACAGAAAGAAGCTAACGACACAGCTAAAGTCAATGAAAGAAGCTAACGACACAGCTAAACTCACAGAAAGAAGCTAACGACACAGCTAAAGTCATGGAAAGAAGCTAATGATGTCGCTAAGATCTGAAAAGGAGGTTACTACACAGCTAAAGTCACAGAAAGAAGCAAACAGTACAGCTAAAATCAAAAAAAGAAGCTAACAACACAGCTAAAGTCATAAAAAGAAGCTAACGACACAGCTAAAATCACAGGAAGAAGCTAAAAATACAGCTAAAGTCACAGAAATAAGCTAACAGTACAGCTAAAGTCACAGAAATAAGCTAACAGTACAGCTAAAGTCACAGAAATAAGCTAACTAGACAGGTGAAGTCACAGACAGAAGATGAGGACAGTGATAAAGTCCAAGAAAGAAGCTAATAACACAGCTTAAGTCACAGAAAGATGCTAATGACATAGCTAATATCTGAAAAGGAACGTAACTACACAGCTGAAGTCACAGAAAGAAGCTAACTAATTAGCTAAAGTCACAGAAAGATGCTAACGACATAGCTAAAATCCGAAAAGGAGGGTAACTACACAGCTAAAGTGGCAGAAAGACGCTAGCTACACAGGTAAAGTCATCAAAAGATCCCTAATTACACAGCTAAAGTCATAAAAACTTAGAACCTTAATCATTAATTTTTCGTTAATTTATTTTAATTATGACATAATGACTGTACAGCATTCCTCAGCGACTAAACCCGTATGTTTGCTGTGTTTATCCGTGGCGATAAAGACGCCAGACATTAAAGTCAGCTGTGTTTGGACACGTTGGCAGAACCCCGGCGTGTATTTAACACGCATACCACAACTCGTGGATCATTATTTAGCAGAACAACCTGTGAGCAGCTGATACGAAGGTGCTGAGAGATAAACGGCGCTCACGGCTCGTCTGTCAGTCACACTGCAGGAATGTGCTGCTTTTTTTTTCCATCTGCGTCGCGTTAATGGAGCTCGCCGCCTGCTTTTCTACTGTGTGCTTGTGATAAGGTGAGAGCTAATGCGAGCCGGCCAGTAAACAGTTCCTGTCATTGTTCAGCTGCTGTGATGGAGGGTTAGCGATGGATCAAACTGTGTCTGAGAGTCTGGCCTCAGGTGGGACGTATGAACAACAAAAAGGTGTCGAGGCCAGAAGGTCAAGGAAAGTGGGGCAAAGACAGAAAATGTAAACAGATTAAAGTTATTGAATATTTCCCACTCAGGGTGGTTCAGGAGGTCCGAGCTTCTGGCTGTCGCTGGTTTCTCTCAGTTTTTTCACTTCAATGCAAAATGAATGAAAACAGAACAAGCATGAAGAAGGAGAGAGAAGATAGAAATGTCTTCTGTGCAGGACGACAGAAACCAGAACAAAAAGGAGACATGAGAGGTGAATTTCTTTGGTTATTTGCTAAAAAACAATAAAAAAAAATGCAATCACAATATCCAACATCTGTCCCCACAGGTGTTAGAAAACTAGAAATAAAAAATAGTGGCAGTAAAACAAATGAAATAATAATAATCTGTGCAGTAATTATGTGTTCAGCTGGTGTGAATTCAGTCAAACAGGACAGATTTTTATATTTCTATATTTCTGCACGTTGAGTTGTTGTTTTACGATGTGTGACCATATTTAAATTAGCTAAAAACGTCTATTTTGCACACGTTTGTGGTCATTTATACGTTTCTGAATTCACTCTTGACGTATTTTCATCGTTTGTTTATTAGTTTTTACTCTCCCAGGAACAATAAATCAACGTTCTCCCTCTGCTTCCCACAAACATCCCAACGCTGGACGTCTGACTGTCAGAATAAAATAAGTTCATAACAACCTCTTGAGCGGGGTTGTTGTCTTGCTGAACCCTCTGGGCTGCGTCCAGCCGTTCAGATCCTCCCTCGTATCTCGTTCTGCGTGTTTCTATCTGCGAGGAATCTTTTGTCAGCATTAACTCATGAAACAAAGAGCTGACCTTTACCGGCTTTATCTGGTTATTTTTAACCGGCGGTTCGGTTTAGAGCAACATCCGGCGGCCGCAGGGAGTTTCTGGAGGAGGATCCACCGACTTGTTGATGTTCGGGTCGGCGTGGAGCCGTGAGAGTCAGGTGGAGGCTGTCGTAGTAATAACAATGTGCTCACAGTGTTTGTTACTCGCTTGTGGTGTTTCTGCATCGCCGGCTCTCAGTCTGCAGTCAGGACATGAGCTCATAGACAAACACCGGCAGGAACAACCGGCCTCTGTTCGGCACCAGAACCTGTGCAGGGCTGAGGCCCCGGCGAGGCTCCGGGGCCCCTCTGCAGCCACGTTTGGAGCCGTCGCTCTGGTTCTACTTACGTCAGAGCAGCAGTGATGTTCGCTGAGGGTTGACCTGGTTTTGCTTCGGCCTTCGTCTTCTCCAGAAGGATCCAGAAGGGCGTCATGAGCCGGATCCGTCCTTCTCACCTCCGTCTGCACCGTTAAAAAACAAAGAGATCCATAAAAAATAGTGAAAATGTGGTTTAAAAAAACAACAGGTGTAATCCTGTAACACCCGTAAACTGAGAAAATGTGGCAGAACAGAAGGACATCATCAGTCAATAATGAATTATTTGATTACACGAGTTCAGCAAAGTGGAAGTTTGTGGTCATTTAGTCTCACTTTTTGTTGTTTTGTGGATCCGTGTGTGGTTGTTTTGCGTTTCTTTGTAGTTGTTTTGTGTCTTTGTGGTTATTTTGATAGTTTTAATCGTCTCTTTGTGGTTGTTTTGCTTCTCTGTTTGGTTATTTTAGTAGTTTTGTGTCTTTTTGCATCGTTTTTGTGGTTGTTTTTGGTTGTTTCGCATGTTTTTGTTGGTATGTTTGTGGTTGTTGTATATCTGTTTTTGGTTGTTTTGTGTCTTTGTGGTTGTTTTGGTAGTTTTCCACCTCTTTATGTTGTCTTGTGTGATTGTTTTGCGTGTCTACATGGTAGTTTTGCCAATTTTTGTGATTATTTTGGTAGTTTTGCGTCTTTTTGCAGTAGTTTTGCATGTTTTTGTGGGTATGTTTGTGGTTGTTATACATCTCTTTTTGGTTGTGTTGGGTCTTTGTGGTTGTTTTGGTAGTTTTTCATCTCTTTACGTCGTCTTGTTTGGTTGTTTTGGTAGTTTTGTGTCTCTTTGTGG